CAATATATATGAGACGAATAAGAAAAGAAACAGTAATCAAAAACCTGCCCCAAACTGAAACAAATAAAACTAAATGAATATTAGGTTGGTCACATAACCATATACACACACACAAATTATTTCAATGAACTCTGAAGAACAGTATTTTAACTGTACATTCTTAGTGGATTATATTGTCAAGACAATGAGAACTGTACAGAAATCTCAACTTCATTTGGCAAGCCTACCATTAGTAAAGTTATTAAACTACTTCAAATACTGTTCTTTTAAGAATTTTATGTATATTGCCCTGGCTGGTGTGGCTCAGTGGATTGAGTGCCGGCCTGTGAACCTAAGGGTCACTGGTTTGATTCCCAGTCAGGGCACATGCCTGGGCTGTGGGCCAGGTCCCCAGTAGGTGGTATGTAAGAGGCAACCACACACCGATTTTCTCTCCTTCTCTCCCCTCCTTCCTCTATCTCTAATAAATAAATAAGATTTAAAAAATAATTTTATGTATATTATAGAATAAAGCAAATTAAATTAATATTTTAGAAACAAATATGTCCAGTATAAAAGAAGTATCAATACAAAAGCAAAGTGAAAACTATGCAATATTAAATTTTAATTAGAAATATCAGTATGGCCTTATTTTATCAAAAATACAGGGTGGGGCCCTGGCTGGTGTAGCTCAGTGGATTGAGCACGGGCCTGCAAACCAGACAACTGCGGTTCGATTCCCAGTCAGGGCACATTCCTGGGTTGCAGGCCAGTTCCCTGCAGGCCAATTCCCAGCAGGGGACGCACAAAAAGCAACCATACATTGATGTTTCTCTCCCTCTCTCCTTCCCTTTCCCTCTAAAAGATAAATAAATTATTGAACATCAAATGATTGTACTAATGATCGGCTAATTATTGAACAAAGTATAAAAATATTCAACTAAAAGTATAGAGAAAATTAACAAAAGGAATAAAATATAGTAAGAATTGAAGAAAATAAGAGCAGAATCAAGAAACTAAAAAATAATAACACTGATATGTAAATGTGGAGTAAATTCTTTGAAGACTAAAAATATATATAAAAATCTGTAACGAGGCAAATTAAGCAAAAGAGAAAGTCCAACATCAGGAATGAGAGAACATAACCAGGGGGGCAGAGGGCATCGAGTAAAAATGAACAATTCAATAAATTTGAAATTTTAATGTAAAATCTCCTAAAAACTTTTTTTAAATAAATGAAATTCAAGCACTCTCTGGTGGGGTAGGTAAGTGGCTAGAGCGTTGTCCCAATACACCAAAGTTGCAGGTTCCACCCCCGGTCGGGGCGCACACAAAATCAGGCATGCACGCAGACATAAGCGGAACAACAAATCAATTGTTTCTCTAAAAATCAATAAATTTTTTTTTAAATTTAAAGAAATTTAAATATGAGACATAGAAGAAATTGAAAAATTGTGAAATAATTACCTAACGTGGAACCTGTCTTGTTCTTTTCAGATAAATTTTTTCATACCCTCTGGAAACAGGTTATGTGTATAAACTATTCCAGGACATACATCAAAATGTTAACATTTTACAATACTAAGGTATCTTACAGAGTTCTGCCCTGGTTGTTGTGGCTCAGTGGATTGTCAGCCTGCAAACCAAAAGGTCACTGGTTCAATTCCTATGTCAGGCATGTGCCTGGGTTGCGGGCCAGGACCCTGGTGGGGGGCACATGAAAGGCGACCACACATTGATGTTTCTTTCTCCCTCCCTTCCCCATTCTCTGAAAATAAATAAAATCTTAAAAATATATGTATCTTTTTTTTAAAGGCAGTGTAGGGTCTTTTTTTAAGATTTTATTTATTTATCTTTAGAGGGGAAGGGAGAGAGGGAGAGAAATATCAATGTATGGTCGCCTCATGCGTCCCCTGCTGGGAACTGGCCTGCAACCCAGGCATGTGCCCTGACTGGGAATCGAACCGAGATCATCAGGTTTGCAGGCCCGTGCTCAATCCACTGAGCTACACCAGCCAGGGCCTAAAAATATATATCTTAAAGAATTCTAATATAAACATATCTCAAAAGAATTCTAGAATCCTCAAGGATTTCTGTGTTAACACCGAGATCCTGTCTCAGCCTTCTCTAGCTAGAACCAAAGGGCAAGACTGCAAGGATTCTTGGGTAAAGGAATCTGGTGGTGACAGCAACAGAAGAGCTGCAAAAGCACTCTAACGGGGTCAGGAAATAGCTCTTGTCCTGGCTCTGCTGCATATTCAGAATGACCTACGCGAGTGTTATGGCTTACATTAAAGTTACCTACATAGAGTACAACCTCTTTAAGGACAGGGTCAAGTAACTTACCTTGACTTCCCAATTTGCAGTGTCTAGTAGAGCGGACTGACGTGAGGGAGGCCAGGGAAAGGAATAAAGGAAGTGGCGTGAGATGGGGTAGGAAGAAAAAGGTACATGTGGGCCCAGGTCATGCAGTGCCCTGTAGACCACGATAAAGACCTTGGAGTTTATTCTGATTGGATACTCAGCCATGGGAGGACTCTGAGCTTATGAGTGGCATGGTCTGATTTACATTAAAAAAAAGAGACCACTCTGGTTGCTGTGTGATGACCTACCGTGTGGGAAGTACGGAAGCAGGTATATACCAGGGTATCCCCAGAGAAGCAGGTGTACATATTCACTGACAGATACAAAAATCTCCATAGCAACTTTATTCATAAAAACCGCAAACTGGAAACAACCAGTATTTCCCAAAACCCTAGAATGGATTAATAAATTGTGTTGGTCACACATGGGAATACTACACAAGTAAAAAATGAACTGCTGCTACATGTAACATGGATGACTCACACCAACGGGTCAGACAAGACATAGGGTTACATATGATTATACTTACATTCGGTTTTAAAGCAGACAAAAGTGATCCATGGGGATAAAGGCGAGAACCATGGTTATCTGAGTGTGGGAGGGGCAGCAGAGCATCTCCTGGGATTCTAGGAATGTTTAGCATCTTGATCGGGGTGATGGAATCAGGGTGTATGTATGTAAGTATCCACTGTGTTGTACACTGAATTTTTGCACATTTTACTGAATATAAGTTTTACCCCAATAAAAATATACTTTAAAGTAAATTACTTAAATAGAAAGATAGAACCATATGTTAATCAGTAGTGTTGTTTCCAAGTAACTCTGGTTTTCCTCCCAGGCTGTGGAGAGATTACACTCCTCCAACTTTGATGTGGTCATGTGATTTAGTTTGGTCAATGAAAGTGCTTTAAGGGCCAGTGAGTGATTTGCCAAACTCATTTCCCCCAAGGGGCAACCACACCCTAGCTGGTATCAGCTTGCTTGGCCTGAGTCTCAGAATGAGGACAATTTATATAGCAGGATCAGTTAACGTTTTCTCTGAAGGGTCACATGGTAAATATTTATAGACTTCCTGGGCCATTGTCACAACTATCCAACTCTGCTATTAGAGCATGAGTAGCCATGGACAATACACAGGTAAATGGACAAGGCTGTCTTCCAATAAAACTATTTATAGAAATAAGCATAAGGCAGATTTTGCCTGTGGTAAACCCCTGACCTATAGCAAAGTCCCTGCCCAAGTGAGAGAAAAACTGTGTGAGACACTGAGATTTTACGGTTACTATACAGCAATGTAATACCCCATCCTGATACAGAAACTGGTTCTGTTTTGAAAAAACCTGAACTACTGAACACTGGCATAATTGGCAGGCATTCAGGATGCTATTGGAAGATGGAAGAAATAACTTATGTAGGGGCAATTCACGTAATGGAAGGGTTAAACTGTCCCCTTAGAGAAGCTGTAAGGCCAATAATGTACCCTTTACTAAAGGGGAAAAAAAAGAAAGAAATACACTATTATTGCTATTGGCTGCATTTCACAAAATGGACAGGAAAGAGATGAACTCAGAAAAGAACTCACCAAATTGCAAGCAGGAATGCAAGGAAATAGAGAGCATTCAAAATTCAATTACCTGTTGAGTAGGATGAGGCCACTCCTCAATTACAAAAAGATAAAAATGAGAAATGCTTTACTCCCAAGGTTGATTAAAAACCAGTTTTGCAGCAAGGATGAAATTACTGGATGTCCACCATACCTACCGTTACCATCTCTAAATGAGTTAATGTGCCTCAGATGAGAATCCAACTAAAAGTGTAACACTAGTTAGTACTTTAAATTGGACAAAAAGGCTCAAGGAAAGAGAGTAAGGGTACAGCTGTCCCATGAAGTCTGAAGGTGCCAGTTACCCAGAAATTATGTTCAGAAAGGCTTGCAAGGAACCAAATGCAGCAAATCTGAGAAGAACGTGTTGGCTAGATGTCATTTTTGAGTCTTCTTCATTGGGGAGGTTGGTAAGGACAGTCTGCAGGAGGAAAGCAAGTGAACAAAATATTTAGTGACCAGGAGGGCTGACTGAGTCATCCCTCTAGTATTTTGTTAAATTTAATTTTAAATCCCAGAAGAGCCAGAAGTTTGTAAAGAAAAGTAACAAGTAAATGGCATGCCATTTTCTCCTAGGGTTGAAGCTTACAAAGGAAAATGGATATTACCTCTTAAGCAGCATTGTCTTTTTCTGATACTAAGTTTAATTTTCTAACTACTTAAGTATTTTTTGGTTCACTAAATGATTGTCCAGGACTTTTCATCTAAGTTCCTTTAGAAATTAAAGAAAAAAAAATTAAGACTTCCACATCAAGGAGGTAACAACTTATCATTGCCTAGTGGACTTATGTATGTGTGACTGGGTTTGAGTCCTGCCTTTGCTACTTATGCTTATGAGGGCAAACTGCAATCAAAGTTTGTTTCCCCAACAACATTCACATATTTGAGCCACGCGCCAAGCACTGAGCTACATTCTGGGAATACAGTGAGGTCCCTAGTGACAAAGAACTTCGTTTCATTCTGCAATCTGTAATATGTGGATAACCATTACCCAGTGAGCAGTCTAAGACAGCAGGCAAAGGACATGGGGGAAGGACTTCAAAGATCGTAAAACACTACACAAACATTTATTCATCCAAACATTTATTGAAACACCAGGCATTGTGCTAAGCAAGATATAATAACAGTGAGCAAGTCATAAGGTCCCTTGTCCTTATAAAGCTTGCAGTCTACCAGTGATTAATAACAAGTGACAATAATATGCATTAAATATATGGATGGAAAAAACAGATATTTAGGGAGTACACAGTTGGGGCACCTAGTCTAGTGGGCATCAATGAAGGCTACCTGGAGGAAGTGGTATATAAAGTCAGACCTGAAAGATGAACAGAAACTGTACCTTATCCTAAGAGCAATGGGAAAGCAATGCAGTGATATAACCAGGTATGTCTTTTGGAACAATCTGGCTGCAGTGTTGGAAAGGGATCAAAATCAGAGAAAAGGAGACCAATGAGGAGGCTGTTGCTCCCATTTAGGCAAACTGATGGCCTGAATTAGAATAGTAGCACTGGAAAAAAGAGAAATTCAGACAGTGAACATAACAGAAAGGTTTTTGTGAATGGTAGGATGTATGAAGAGGAAAAAGTCATGGAGAACTCAGATTTTGGCTTAGGCAAGAGTAACTGAGTAGTTAGTAGTGGAAGTGCCATTTATTAAAAGAGGGGACACGAGAGAAGCAGGTTTAGGAACAAGACTGATGACATGCTGCAGTGCCATGAGACAGCAGAATGGACCCAAGTTAGAAATTAGATATATGCATTATGAAAGGTCTAGAAAGAAGATATAAATTTGTGAGTCACTTACATACTGGTGGTAACTGAAGCCATGAAAGGAGATGAGATCAGCTAAGAAGATGATGTAGAGTAAGACAGCCTAACACAAAACTTAACTATCTCAAGAACACAGATATTGAAGGGAAAGAGGTACCTACAAAGAACACTGAGCGAGCATACCTGGACATGGTTTCTCTGCGTAGCCAAAGCAAACAACTATTTCAAGGAGAGAGGTCAGTGATGTCAGAGGGTGACAACATTCACAGGGACGCTGTGGGCCTGGTAGAGCGGTGAGTGACAACATGGGAGAACAGAATACACACAGATCTTCTAAGGACACTAGTAGGAATGGGAAATATAGGGGCATAAGAGTTCCTTAAAAAAGTTGTTTTAACTATATTCACTGATACAACAGGACCAGTAAAAACTACTTTATAAAAAATATTAAAAAAAAAACAAGACTGCCATGCGGTTACAGAATTACTAAATACAGAAAACAGTAAAATACACACTTTTCCCTTACAAACAAGACTAGGGTATAGCAAATTCTCTATTATTCAGGGCCAATTTAAAATCCTTGGCTTATATCTCCCATCCCCACCCACTCAATGACTACATGATGCAAACTAATTTTATTATTAGCATAAGCAAAATATATACTAGAAACTCACAAAATGTACAAGACTGCAATATTTGAGGAACCAGGGTCAGAAAGCAGGAGCAGCCTTCAGGTCTTCCAATCATCCTTTCAATAAAGCACTTTCCATCAAAGAGAATACCCCAAACTATGGGAAAATTACCGGTAGATTTTTTTTTGTTCAGTTGGATTTTCAATGTACTTGTTTTTTCCAAAAATTTAAGCCTACTCCCTGTTAACTAAAATCTCAACTTGACCATTCTTGGTAAGTATCTTGTCATAACTCTTGTTTTTCTGCCCTCCATGAATTGTGTCTAACAGAATCAAGCCCTTTATTCTGGTTCAATATCAATTACTGATTTATAAATGCTATAAATAGCATTTGTGGGTCACCAGAACATGTCAAGGACTTTACTGCATCTTACTAACCAAACTCAGAATGTTGGGATTAATCTTCCCTCTCAAGTATTGTCAGTTTGCTCAACTTGGCCTTCTAATTTTGCTTCTACTGGTAATTTTCCCCATCCCTCAAAATAAAATAATCTACCCTGGGAGGGTCTACTGGCACTATGAAAGGGATGATTCTTAAGTGTGCCAGGTTGTCCTATAACTTAAATGCCAGCAGACCTCCTCCCGCTACTAAATGTGACAACCAAAAAAATCCCCTGTATGTCCCAACATCCTCTGGAAACAGGGTTTACTTGCCTCAGGTTGAGAACCAATGACACAATTTTGGTTCTTGGGTTCTTATGGCACTATTTTGATTGCTCAGGCATCAGTTCCTTCTACATTCTTGGTTGCATCCTGGTTCCTTGAATTTGCTGGACTAATGACCATAGAACAAGGTGTTACAATAGTTAGGACTTCACGTTTTCAGATCGTACTTGAGAGGATCTACAAACTGGGTCTGTTTGTAACTCATTTTACATATTTGGCTATACATCAAGATTTCCTTTTCACGGTTAATATAAATTTGAAAATTACTGTTTTATCACAAAACAGATGGCTCACTAGAAATATGAAACTGCTACAACCTGAAAAAAGCTGCTTCTTGAGTTAAACATTTCTACTTGTGCACCGTCTTAAGCACAGAATGAAGAGGGCAGTTTTGAATTCTCTAACAAATCCATTTCAAGCAGCTAACAAAATCTGATAGTATATCACTATAAAATAGTATCCTTTAAGCAGGATTTCTTTAAAAAGCAGTAACGCCCATGCAGATAGGGCAAATAAACTAAAGTATCTCACACTTCCTGATTCTAGAGTGCAAAAATCTTTTTGCCTCATCCCTTTTGATAGGGCCAACCATTTTTCTACAATAGAAAAAAGCATGACTAATGGGCAATCATTAAGATTCTATACTTACCATAGTCCTTTAATAGGCGAGCTGGTAAAACAGCACCCAATTGTGAATCATTCAGGGGAAACCTCCAATAATTGGTTAGTCTGATCTCCAAATTGCAGGAAGCCTTCTAACCAGCAACTTAAAAATAATTCTTGCTCCCAAAATTTTACTGGATTACACCCTCTACTAGTAATAAAATATCATTATCACTGAGTGGATAGAGAGGAGGTTAGAGGGAGGTAACCTGTCAATATTTACCTCAGACTCACACACATTTTTAAAAAGTTTCAAACATTCTGATAAAGTACCTCCACTGAATGTACGTTCTTCCTTTTCAGAAACTTTGGAATTTGCTCTGAGTGTCTGCAAATTAGCTCAAACATACATTTAAGGAGCTGATAATTTCAGACTATATGCACCAGAATTTTAACATTTCATCAGAGCTAAAATTTCTTCGAAACACCTTAAAAACATACTTCTAATTCAACTCACATCACCAGTACTAAATTTCTTTAAAAACAATAACATCATAAAAGCAAAAGACAATGACTTTGCCATTAAATTTTAAGAGGTGTTTGCATGTTTCAGTCCCATGCTGCCTCTTGAGATGGAAAAAAAAAATGTCAGAAGAACCTGAATTGTGATCAATTTGAATGAAAAAACCTGATGTTTTCTCACAATCCAAAATAGTAAAACTTGAAAAATCAAATTTTGGCCTTTAGAACTGGATTCTGGTTGAGTGTTTCAATGTCGTACTGTGCAGGCTTATGGATTAGGGTCATTTCTCACTCTCAGAAGAGCATCCCAATGTGGCTCTATTTCAGTTGTGGCGATCCTGAACAGGGCGTGGAGATGCTCATCCGTCAATGGCTGGCTCAAGGTGTGCTGGTTTCGAATCAAATATGAAAAAGCCTTTTCACAGATTTCACTACTATCAAACAAGGATGCCACTTTACAGGCAACCCCTTTGATAATTGGGTAAGATTCGGCAGACAATCCAGCATAGAACTGTCCCAAGTCTTTGTTTCTATATTCCTCCCAAAGTTCAGAACTTGCCTGAAGTTTTGTTAGCTCCACCCTCACCGAAATAGGTGCATATTCAGGTTTAAAGTTAAACGGATTTGCAAACAGTTCTAAATCCTTTTTAATGAACTTGAGGTCCTTGAAATGTCTATCAAAGTCTTTTTGAAGGCGACTGATCACCGCTTTGTACCGGTTAGGATCAAGTATTTTTTCATCGTCTTTAACATGCTGTTTAAGCTCATCAACAACTTCTCTCAAGGCAGCAAAGTGTGTTAGATTTTTTTCCTCAATATGTCTCTGCAGTAAATTCAGCTTAACTTCAAAGTTACAAATATGGTCGAAGGCGGTAGCAGCAAAGACTCTATTAAATCGCAACAGTTCACTGAGTTCTCGAAGGTGGTCCATAATATCTACCAAGAAGCCAAAGTCGCAAAGCCATTGTTGGTCTGAGAAATGGGCTGTTGTTGCCCCTACAGAAGCCAAGAATGCTTCTATCTCTTTCCTTAACGAAAACAGTAGTTTTAAAGTTTTCCCTCTTCTAAGCCAATTGTTCAGACATCGTCCATTAACCCTTTCGCCATGCTCTGATTCAGATGAAGTTAGTAAAGCCTGAAATTCGGGTCGTCTGATGCCTCTTGTTTTAATCAAAAGTATCCATTCAGATACGGTGTTTATGACCTGACTCACGTCCACATCGTAGGAGCTCAACAGTTCCAAGTGAAGGAATCCCGAATAATGGATGACATTCCAACAGTTGGGGCTTACAGCCTTTTCTCTCATGTATGACACCAATCCTGAATTCTCGCCAATCATCCTCAGAGTGTGGGTCGTGGTCAGACCAACCATTCGCTGCAAGCTAAGCCCTGCTGTCTGCAGGGCCTCAAGGATTGCCGCCATGAGAGCACCAACACTGAAGTGATGAGTTAGGTTGATTATGGTCAGAAGCTCTTCTTGCACCTCCAAGTCCTGGTCCACGCCGCGGACAAAGACCAGGAGGTAGTTCTCGTAGGCCACAAAAGCCTGGTCGTCCAAAGCAAGGGAATAGGCTTTAAAATCCTTGGCTCGGTTAAAAAGCTGACTGCGTAGATTCTCGTTAATGTTTAGGACCCTCTGCCGGATGGTGTCTGGAGATAAATCAATGCCACCCAAAACGCCTACGTGATCCGGCAGTACATCTTTCAGCACCACCTCCGTTAACTGGTACACAAAGTCCCCTTCACCCCAGCCGCGACCTTTCAGGGCCAAGAGGCGGGCGATCCCGAGGCCTGCACGAGCAGCTCTCTCCTCGGGGGTGGGCGGGATGATCTCGGGCAAGTCCCCCTGCCGCAGACGCTCCACCAGGGCCGCGCGCTCGCCCTCCTCCACATACCGCTGGTAGTACTGGTGCTCGGCCTCGTAGTGGCGCCTGACGTCGCGTTCGCAAGTGGACACGACGAGGTGGGCACAGACCAGGCACAGGGCCCCTTCGCCCTCCGGAGGCTCCACCACCAAATAACGCTGGGTCCACTCGGGCCGGAATCCCCGAGTCTCCTCGAATTCCATTTTGCTCCTCTTCGGTGTCATCCACATTTTGCCGGCGGCCAAAAAAGCTGAGCAGACGCCCCGGTGACTGCAAGGAGAGAGGAGGAGCAGGAGTAAGCGCCAAACGCCACCTAAGCTCTGCGCCAGATCACCCCAGCGGCGCGACGCCCACCTCCCGCTAGGCCACCTACGTTCCTATTGGCCGGGAGAGCGGACCGTGATTACCATTGCGCAGGCGCAAAAACTCCGAGCTAGGGGGCTGAGGCGGCTCTAGGGAGAAACGAACAGACCTAGGAACCCACAGACCTAAGAAACTTGACTGGCATTCAAACCGCCCAATCAATAGGGCCCTGGCTCGAAAGCCACGCTGCCACGAGAATGGGTTGCAGACCAACTGGCGAAAACAGAGTTAAGGTAATGATGTAAGCACGAAGCACTGTAGTGATTGGCTGACGGCACAGCCGCGAACCTCTCGACGTGACCTGGGGTCGTCTGGCGCCAAAATGTCGCTAGCAGCGGGCGTAATTCGGAGACTGGACGAGACAGTGGTGAACCGCATCGCGGCAGGGGAAGTCATCCAGCGGCCGGCTAATGCCATTAAGGAGATGATTGAGAACTGGTACGAGGTACTTGGGCTGCCTCAGAAGCTACGACTTAACGTGCTGCTCCTCCGGTGGCGCGGACACGCCTCCCTGACCTGAGCGGAGGCGTGTACAGCGCATGCTTACAGCGGCGGAGGTCTTGGGGGTCTCGTCTTCTCGTTTCCCGGGCTCTGTCGCGAGACTTTTTGGGGCTTGTTGGGGGCGCAGTTACAAGGCTACGCGGTTTTATGTGCCATTAACCAAAGGAGATAGTTTTAAAATTGTACGTGCAGAAGGTGCAGATTTTAAAATGTATAAAATTTTTCGATGGGGAAAAAAAATCTCCTTTTTCATCAGTAACATAGTTATTCCAAAAATCATGCACATTCTAGAGCACGATTCATTTTTAATTTTATTATAAATAAATTGAGATTTTAGGATAGGCCGATGGACTTTCTTTGTTTAGCTTGGGATTTTCCTATTCCCAAATCAGTGATCCTACTTAATGTTTCTTACCCTTTACTTTTATGGGGGGGGCACTTTGAAGATACCTGATTTTATAGGGGGTATTCTGTGGATTTTGAAGTTTGGAAATGCCAGACAATGTGGAGGGAAGAGGTTAAAAACGTGGAAAGAAAGGTGGCTGTAAACTGTAAACCTCAAAAAAAGACATGCTCATAACGTCCCTAAACGTTTACATCAGATCCTTTGTGTTAGTCAACTTGATGTTAATAGAATCCATACCTTAAAAGAAGAAAAAATACCCCAGCTAAGAACGTTTGTAAAGGGATTTATCGTGAAAACAAACTATTCAGGATAACGGGACTGGAGGGATGGTAGATCAGAAAGGACTACTTAAAGGGAAGGCAGAGAATTGGAAAGCAGAAAATACAAGGAACAGGGAACCTAGGAATGGTTTCTCCTCCTGACTTGACTTACACAGTTTACACTGGCTGGCTTTTGTTTCTATAGTGTTAGCATTAACTGATTGTAATTAATCCTATCAGCAGAGACTTTGGATGGGTCCAGTTATGCTCTTTTTAATATATAAGTCAAGATGACTAACCAACTTCAACTCAGGGTCTTCTGAGAAAGGTCTTTAGTAACTTAATGTCTTTATTCCTAAATAAAGAATTTTCTGTGTCCATAACTTCTGTTTCTCATACAGCGCCAGCCTGAATTTGTTTTCTCTAGCAGATGCTCTGTGCTCTTAGGCCACTCTGCTACAAAAGGTTTCTTAGCTTCTTAAAGAACTTTCTGCATTGCCCTTTTTTCTTCCCCCCTACGTAAATCTATTTTCTTAGAGAAAATGGAAGAGTAAGAGAAAACATTTAGAATTTTTAATGACATTTTATTGCAGTCATTTAGGAACTTGAGGCTGAATAAAGTTTGAGTAACAGATGGTAGACTTAGAGAAGAAGGTAAGAAAAAGGCATGTGCTAAAAGGACCTACTTCTTATTTCACTTTCTTTCCTAGAGGAGCAGAAATAGTGGGGAATATTCTCTTGGAAATGATGGTTGGCCCCCTCTGTCCCTCCCTTCCCTTTCTCTAAACTGATAGTAGTGTGGCTACAGAGCCTGTAGGCAAAGAAAAAACATTAATCACCCAGTCTTATATTCATCTGGAATATGTTCTTCTTCCTCGGCTCATATTAAAATTTGTGCATCAGGGTCATTACAGACTGATTTCTTTTTCTGTTTGATTTGCCAGTTTAGATGCAAAATCCACAAGTATTCAAGTGGTTGTAAAAGAGGGAGGCCTGAAGCTGATTCAGATTCAAGACAATGGCACTGGGATCAGGGTAAGTTAAACCTCAGAGGAGCAGGATGTTCGAGTGTTCTGTGTGATACATCTGCAGGAAGTGGCAGAACCTTTCCCTGTTCTGGAAAAGGGGCTTTTGTGGATGGGATTGTCTGACTGAAAAATTCAACACCAAAAGTAATTTTTTAAAGATTTTATTTATTTATATTTAGAGAGGAAAGGGCAGGAGAAAGAGAGGTATAGAAGCATCAGTGTGTGGTTGCCTCTCAAGCGCCCTCTACTGGGGATCTGGCCTGCAGCCCAGGCATATGCCCTGACTGGGAATCAAACCAGCAACCTTTTGGTTCCCAGACCTGTGCTTAATCCACTGAGCTACACCAGCCAGGGCTAGTAATTGTTTATTGAGTTCCTATTCTAAACTGGGCACTGTGTAGGGGAATAAGGAGGACAAGGAGTGAGTCATGAGGCCATTTAAAGGATAAATGTTCCCAGTGAAGAGAACAAGTACATGCAAAAACCATGAAAAGGAAGCACGCCTGACATGTTTAAGGCTCAGGTAGGAGGCCAGTGTGTCTAGAACAGGAGATGAGATCTGAAAGATTAGCAGACCGATCATGTCGAACCCTGTGGGCCACTACTCTGAACAAGGTGAGATGCTATCAGAGGGTTATGAGCAAACAGGTAACATGGTTTAGTGAGTTTTATAAGAACCCTTTGTCTACAATGTGGAAAATAGTGGGATAGGGCAGAAGCAGTGAGGAGGCTCTTGTAACAGTCTGGGGGAGGGGTGATGGTGCCTTGGACCAGTTTGGTCAAAGTAGAAATGTAAGAAGCACTGAGGTTCTGGGTTGATTATGCAGACAAAGCTGTCAGAATTTGCTGCAGTGTGGTGTGAGAGAAAGAGGAGCCAAAAATGATGGCAAGGTTTTGGCCTGTGAAAATAGAAAAAAGTCACCATTCACTGATGGGAAAGAGTAGACGAAGTGGGTTTGCTGGAAGATCAGAAAACCACTTGATGGCATGATAAACTCAAGATGTCTTTTAGTTAGATACATGTGTGAGTCTGAAGTACTGGTAGAGGTTTGAGCTGGAGATAAAAGGTTGGTGTATTGCAGTTTGATGGTATTAAAAGCCATGAGACACACATGAAAAGGTGCTCAACATCACTAGAGAAATACAAAGAAAAACCACAGTGAGACACCACTTGACACGCATTAGGATGGCATAAATAAATAAACGGGGAGGGAGAAAGAATATTGGCAAGAATGTAGAGAAATGGGAACCCTTTTGCATTGTTTGTAGGAAAGTAAAATAGTGTAGCCCCTGTGAAAAGTGGTATAATGGTTCTTCAAAGAATGAACCAGAATTACCATATGATCCAGTAGTTCCACTTCAGGACATCCACCCTGAACTGAAAGCAGGATCTTGAAGAGATTTGTACACCCATGTTCATAGCAACGTCCACACAATAGCTGAAGGTTGGAAGCAACCCACGTGATGTACACGTACCATGAAATATTATTCAGCCTTAAAAAGGAGTGACATTTTGACAAGATACTACAACATAGGTGAACCTTGAAGACAGTATGCTAAGTGAAATAAGCCAGTCCCAAAAGGGCAAATACCGTACGATTCCTCTTATATGATGTTCCTGGGGTAGTTGAAGTTATAGAGACAGAAGGTGGGACAGCGGTTACGAGGGGCCTAGGAGAGGGATGATTGAGAAACTACCCACTTGTCCAGTGTTTGGGAACATGGATGCTCGTGGTGGTGGCCCAACAGTGTGAGTGCATTTTATGCACAGAACTGCATGCTAGAAAAGGTAGATTCTGTTTTGTATATTTTACTACTACTGAATGCATATGTAAAATGTATCTAGATTTTTAAGGAGGTTTTCTAGTGATTTTTATACAGTCTGTGAGACTGGATGAGATTATTGAGAGGGTGTGTCCTAGAGAAGAGGTCCAAGGGTGGCATCCTGGGTCACCCCACTGCCAGGGAAGGTGAGGCAGGACCAGCAAATGGACAGGTGAGGCATTTGAGAAGGAAGGAGCACCAGGGCAGTGTGGTCCCCTGGGTGCTGAGCAGGGAAGTTACTGCCGATTCCTAAGAGGAATCTCTTCTGGGATTCATTCAAGAAAGGCAAGATTTAAAAAGATTTGGGAAAAAATGGGTAACATAATTATTACTTTTTTTTTGGTGTCTTCTAGAAGGAAGATCTGGATATTGTGTGTGAGAGGTTCACCACAAGTAAACTGCAGTGCTTTGAGGACTTGGCTAATATTTCTACCTATGGCTTTCGGGGCGAGGTAAGCTGAGCGTGAAATACACGAGTGAAATGTCCACCTGTGATGACATTTCTGCCGTTCATCAGCATGTTCCACAACAGATAAATGAGATAGGATAACGGTACTGAGATTGGGAAACAGCATGATAAAAGGACCTGTTGATTCAAAGAGATTTAAGAGCCTTGTGAACCAGCTCTGCAGTATAGCTCTTACTTGGATTCTGATTGGAGACAGAGATAGTTGAACACAGATTGACAGTATGAAGAAACTACCGTTAATTTTCTTGGTGTAAAAATAGTATCATGGGTTATTTTTGAGACCTTGTTCTTTCAGAAATCTACTGAAATATATGTAGATGAAATTACACACTGTAACAGGAACATATGACACAGGAAATAGATAAAAATATTTTAAAGACTAAAATAGTATCTTATTTTTTATGACAATATGGTGTGGATATTTTTTCATTCACTATGTATATAGACCTAGATAAATTTTAATGGCTATGTACTATTCTATTATGTGTATGTACTGCAGTCTATTCAGATGGTCTCTGTTTGAATGTTTCTGCCCTTTGCCACTTTATCCTGTTTAATGCTGTGGTGAATATTGATGTACATACACTGCGTTTTGTTCAGTTACTTCCTTAGGATCTAGGTCTAGAAATAGCATTTGTTAAGTAAAAGTATGTATACTCTTCAAACAGTTTGTATTACATTACTGTTGCTCCTGAAAAAAGCCACAAGCTTGGTGGCTTCAAACAAC